GACGACTGGGGACGAGTCAGGCGCCACGCCGTGACATAAAATCATGGGGAACCTTGTATCGTGCAGTAGTGATTCGAGATAACAAAGCTATACTCGAGCTATCTGTAGGTGAAAGTGATTTCCCTAGAAGGCCTGTACAGTATGATCGAGCTTTTNGAGTCAGGCGCCACGCCGTGACATAAAATCATGGGGAACCTTGTATCGTGCAGTAGTGATTCGAGATAACAAAGCTATACTCGAGCTATCTGTAGGTGAAAGTGATTTCCCTAGAAGGCCTGTACAGTATGATCGAGCTTTTAGATCTTATAATGATAATAATAATAATAATAATAATAATAACAATAATAATAATAATAATAATAATATTTATATTTATCCAGGGAGCCCACTCGCCTTAGCGGTTTTCAGTTGGGCCTTTCAAATCATAAATGACAAAATGACGAAAAAAAATCACCTACTTTAAAAATTAACTAGGAGTAATCGGAGCTCAGGAGAGTGCGTTCGATATGTTTGATAGGCGTACAGGTAGCACTTGAGGCAGAAGGGTGGTTGCGATATAGATAAATATGAGAATGGCATATTTTGAACGTAAGGGGTGCGTACAGCGAAACCTCTATTTAAACTGTGTATCATTATAAGAAAGTTTTCAAAAGATATCGTATGGTTCGATGTCAAGTGCTTTTAATCGGAGGAGACATTGGCCAGAGTGCGTCGGGCGTGTAAATGGAACATTTTGTTTCACTGGCGCGATTTACAGGGCGCAGTTGCTTAAAGGCCGATTAGTGCTTCACCCGGGATTGTTTTTCTTTCTTCAAACACATTTCTTCGGATAATTTTCTGTTATTTTTAAGAGCATCCAATCATCAACTTGTTGACAAAATGAATTACACTGAATTTACTGTTTTAAAAGCTTTCACATCTGAATTCAAACTTCGTACTAACCCTGTCAAAGGCCTTCAATGGAACGTGTGTGCGGCTCACGTCAATAACTTTTCCGGTAATTTGGTCGAGCGTATTGATTTCAGTGACTCGAGAGTGGTGCTAGTGTGGGCTGGTTTATAAGTTTTTCCTAATAAATAACATAGAGTTAAAGTGTTCGTTTGTCCGGTGCCGAAAATATCACAAGTTATGATCAAATGGCGCCGCCGAGCTTCACATCGCGGTAGATTTACTTTGTGGCACAACGGCTGCCGAGCTACACAACTCGGTAGATTTACTTTGTGACACAACGGCCGCCAAGCTACACAACTCGCTAAATTTACTTTGTGGCACAACGGCCGCCGAACTAAACCCGGTTTGATGCATGAACCAGGAGACGCAGACATTTTCCAAAGACAGTGACGAACCATGCTGAAAAATATGAAGGCTTTACCCAAACTGAAATTTAACATCAAACTTCTGCAAGATGAACGATTTGGACGATTCAGCAAACACAGATCGATGTAAGCTTTACGAAGATTCAGCAAACTTTTCAAAAGATGAACGTTTTACGAAGACAGAATATCAGACCTCAGCAAACCTTTGAAAGATGAACGCCGAGGACACAAGAATCACCACATGAGTTAGCGCGTCAAAGTGAGGCAAAAAGTAAGCAAGCGCCTCAAAGCGAGGCAAATGTGTGTCGAATAACGACGACGACGAAAATGCAATCTCAAAAAACCTCCCTTATTAATTGCACAGGACACCCAATGATGCACAGCACACCCAACACAAATTAGGGCTTGCGTTCTCGTACCTCGAACGCAAAAACTAGGAAAAGATATAAGAAATTGATATTTACATATAATATAGTTTAATGTACTTCTTATACAAGTGTTCGAATTGTCTCTCACAGATGAGTTGAACGCCCGTATGCTCAGTGAAAAGAAACATCAAATGGAACAGCTGAAGTTAGATCTCGGACCAGAAGAATTTGAGAGAATGCTGCATAGCAATGAATTTCGTAAGTGGGAGGGCCAATTTAATGAGTACATACTGGACGTCTTATGACGCGACACCAACAGGTAGCTGGGAGTTGTACATTTTAAAGGTCTTCCACAACTCGCTGGGATTTCCTCCGGCTATTCTTGTTGATTAAATCTGAATAGTATTCGGCCTTGCATTTCTTCACGTCTTTGATCACCAAGTTCTTGATCTTTTTATACATTTCCCAACGGTATTTTGAATTCGTTTTTATCGCCTTTCTAAGGAAACAGACCGAAAATGATCGTTTTTGCGTGTAAATTATCTAAAAGCGGTAACTGTTGATCAGTAGGATGCCTAAAATGTGTGCAATTCCACAATTGGTTTCGGCTCCATTAAATCCCATACCAGCTGAAGAACATTTTAGGAGGAGCCCCCCTCAATGTGAGCACAGTTACTGACACTATCAGCCTAGTCCCTAGGCGTTCTTGGCTCGGTCAATCCTGGACTCTACCGTGAGCTGTGACGTCACCGTGAGATACTCTCGCCCGCTATTTCCCAGACTTCCCGCGGACAACGGGGCAAGACAGAACGCCTAGGGACTAGTCTGTGACATCTATCTGTTAGCAAGAAAAAGCAGTGAAAATAAAGCCGTTAACGGCTATTACTAACTATACGCGTCAACTAAATACTGAGACAGCACACGCACATTTGCATCTAAATAAAGAAAAACATGCAGAAATAAAATAATAATAATGATGAAAATAATAATTAATAACATGTAACAAAGGCTACTACGGTGTTTTTTTACCCTTAAACAGCTCCATCACCGTACACAACGTTTGAACCATGAAGATAGTTAAATGTAACGCTTCTAAACACCTGTAGCCGTAATTAAAAGACAAACAAATTGTGAAGAATCAATATGGCGGTCTCAAAATGCCCTTGTTTGACCTTTAGCAATGTCACGTTTATTTTGATGCCAAAATCTCATTGGTTCCTAAGCATCACCCGATAGTACCTTCAACCTTATTGGCCCCTGCAACAAACATACGAACAGACAAAGCCACAAAGATACAAACGCTTTTTTTAAAAATAGCTCAACAAAAGACTAAAGAGTGAATTCATTAGTTACGATTAATGATCTTAAGTCTTTCCGCCTACACTATGATTTACTTGACTTGTTGTAATCTACCTATGGTCCGAAGTTAACGTAAAATTCCGAAAATAAGCCCCGGGGCTTATATTTTTCAAAGGCCCCTTTTCAGGGGCTTATTTTTTTAGGGGCTTATATTCGGAGGGGCTTATCTACGGAGGGAAATTTGCGTTTAAAAATCGATTGGGCTAGCCTTATAGTTGGAAGTAAATTTATCGTTTTTGCTTTGTCCCCCCCCCTCCCTCCCCGGGAGTTATATTTGGATGGGCGGTTTAACGGAGGTTTTTTTTGCGTTACCGGTTAGTGGGGCCGGGCTTATATTTGGAGGGGCTTATTTTCGGAATATTACGGTATTTTATGCTGTCGGTTATGTTTCACTTGTTTTGTTCAAGGAGGCCTTATTTCTTATCAGCTTTCTAGTTTTTTAGGTCTCCTCGGCCACAATTCTTTTTTTCTAGTAGCGAATATGTATAAAATAAATAGGTAAATAAATAAATAATAAATAAATACAATAAAAATGTCACTTTCCTATTGGTTTCCGAGCTAGTTTAATAAGTTTGGGACATCATTGCGACCCCATAGCCTTCATGTCTTGGCCCCAGGTTGTCGAGAACTTTCTTTAAGAGTCTTCTCTTGATAGACCCGGGCCAAACACATGCGGGACACCAACCTCGTTCCCAGGGTTCTTGGAGCGAGAGAGAACCTGGGAACGACGTTGGCGGAACACCGGTGATCGACAAGGCAAGGATTCAAATAAAATGATACAATTGCTTTTAATTTTGTTTACCCACGGAGCAATCTCGTCCCCGGAGCCTGCGTTACCCTAATCCAGGAGACCGGAAAACGGACGCTCTGGAAAAATCCAAAACCGGAACAACAAAATCCTGGTTCCGGTTTAATTTCGCCTGCGTGAAGTTGTCTACCCATTTGACCAAGAGAAGTTTCCGAGGGAATTTTGCCTTACTCGCACATTGTTGCAATTTACTCTTTCGAAGCAGTTCTTTTCTTCACATGACCTTGACCGATGTGTTTACTGAAGAAAGTAACTCGAAAGGACTGTTCAAGGAGACCGAAAAAGAAAAAAAAAATAAATACCGCGACTAAAACTTAGTTATGACGACACACATTCTTTCGTACTCAGAATGAGCACAGCTGTACGCAAATTTGAAAAGTTCAGTAACATGTATGCCGAGTAATTCTCTTGAAGAATGGCATTAAAATGACCTTTTGAACAAAATAACATTGTAGCGTGGTTTCGTGACTTATCGAGATAAACTTTTTTCTTAACGGTTTTAAGTGATATAAGATTGGTGTGTACACAAATGATGTCTCACGCTCACAGTTTTTTTCATTTGCCAAGTTCTTTGCAATAAGAGATTTTTCGGATTCTTCTTAGTGATCCTTAATGCTGACCAGAAGGATCGCAGCGTCTGGGAACTAGATTGCCCAAGGAGCACTTACGAGTTCTTAAGAACTTGCTGAAACGTGTACGTGCCTTCCAGATCGATTTGGAAACTGGAAGTGTGTGTTTTTTTTTAAGAGAGAGGAAAACTGGACTACCTGGAGAAAAACCTCTCGGAGCAAGGGAGAGAATCAACAAAAACAAATAATACCCACATATGGCGCCGACGCCGGGGTTCGAACCAGGACCACATTGGTGGAAGGCGAGTGCTCTCACCACTGCGCCACTCTTGCTACCCTAAGGCCGTAATAATACAAAATGAAGGGCAAACACCAATAGCTAAGGTAGCGTGATTGCCGCAAACAACCATGACGCAGACATCGAAGATTTCACTTTTTTTCGGACGAGGGTGGGACATGTTATGTAGCACAGTAGTACCACATTTTTAATGCTGCCCACAAGGAACATTTTAAGACAAACTATTGCGTAAACCTGGTAGAAAAACACTAAAATTTAACATGTGTGCCTTGTTGTCTTTCCCTATTTACATTTTCGTTTCTTTGCTGTTGACGGCTGAGGGCTGCTCATTGAATTGGATTCTGTTTCCACACTTCTCTGTAGAAAAAACAAATCATGAAATTATAATTATGCTATGGACGTAGAAAACACAAAATTCATTTTTCGAATATTCCCTACACTAAGTGCGCTTACAGAAGTCAGAACTGGCAGAACGGACAGGTCATTGTGAACGACAAATAAGCTTTTCTCTAAAGTTTTGGCTCAAAAAGAAAACCATCAATTGTTGTTCGACCTACACGACGACGACGACCGCAATGGGAACAACATAATAGCAATAGGTTTCGATTAGCAAAACAAACCTTTGCACTTGCATCCCGCTTTTTTGTACATTTCTCTGCCGTCCTTGCAAGACCACAACATGAAAATGCCTAACTTCACGTTTTGTGGAGCAAGTGAACACAAAACAACGATTTTCTTCTCTTTCTTTTTTTCAAAGTCAGATACAGCTTTTAGAATTCAACTTCAGAAAAATTCACTAACATCTGACAAATTGAATGACATGGAATAAGAGCAATGAATTTTAAAACGGCGTAAATTCACTTTTTACGGAACGTTTTCGCCACCGTCCTCTTCGTACTTTGCTTAAGGTCCCAATACAATACCGACAACACAACGTGAATGTTGTTGAAACTCGTTAAATATGATGCTAAGTCAGATAAGTCATATTTTAAATAATTATGCTTGAATGCAGTATAGTTTGTATAATTAACACTTTACTACTGTTTTTACTACAGTTTTACGGTTAATTTCCCTTTTAAATTGCCCAATAGAATTGGTCTTTGGGAGTGAGGCTCGATTAGTGCATAGTCAACTTGCAGTGCATTGCAGAGATTCACTACGAGCGTGCCTTTGTTTGAACAGGGTTAAAAAAAGAGATTTTACCACATATCCCACATAAATTATCAGTTTGAGTAATTTTAAAAATTATCTTTCTGGAAGTTTTTGAGTTCAATCGATTTAATTTTCTATTTTCGAGTCCCTCATAATACACTCCGTTTGCTCCCTAAATTTGCATAGACTATTGTTTCCAAATGCTCCCCAGAGTAAGCAAGAATAAGAGTTTTATGTCAAGTCAATGTAAGCCTACAAAAAAAATAAAACAAAAAATATATAAAATGTTATGATTGCGCCTGCACTTATGCATGTGTCTTTTATGGGCCATTTTTAATTATTTTACTATGTTTTACTCAGTAATGTTGCAAGCGCTTACCTTATTAGATTTAGACCGCTTTTTTCGTTTTATTTCAAGGTTTTCAGTTTCAAATTTCTTTAAATGAGATGTAAAAAGAACCTGCCAATAAAACAGATTGAGCCAGCATGAATATAATTACTCTGCAAAACAGGGATGGCTTTTGCTTGTTTTTACCAAAATGTTTGAGTTTGGAAGAATTGACCAGAACATTTATTATTTTGCTAGTAGAGCGCACACGCAAAAGTAACTCCATGGGTAAGACAACTTATCAATGTGGAAATGTTAGTCACGACGACAGCATTTGCACGTATGCCTACCCCCTGTACAAACCCTGGTGTTTCTGGTAAGCAAGTGAGGCAAAAAAACAAGCAAAATGTGTTTACCATGAGAGGCAGTTGGCCTTGCAATTAAAAATAACTTGACTTGCCATGAATTGTTTTTTCTTTAAGAACTGTTAGGAGTGAAGCAAACTGACATAAATCATCGTTACGGCCCTTGGGAGTTGAATGAGCAAGTTTTATCTTAAAGGCATCAAAATAGAAGATTTCAAGTTCTAGGCAACTTAGAGGAAAAATAATGCTACAACTGAGCCAAAATTAATTTTGCAGCTGGTCAAAAACGATTGAGGTATGCAATGGCCTTGGACTTTAATTTAAAAAACAAACAAACAAGAAACAAGACAAAACAAAAACACTGGACAAATCCCAATGAAAGTTGGAAAAAAGAACTGATCAAGCAGAGAGATTTTCAAGGCATTAATATCTAAAACAGACTGCAGCACCTCACATTTTAAGCTTGATAAATCATTGCTGCTTGTTTATTCACATATACAAAAGGAAAAAACAAACAAACAAGCAAAACAAATGATTACCGACTGTGCCCATCCTGCATACTTTCCAAACAGAAAACGATAGTGATCCCCTAATGATAAAAAAAAGTCCATTAGGAGCTGCAAACTGCATGTACTGTATCAAATAATAACTAATAACTTGGAAATTATTAAAACGACAAACCCTAGAACACATGTATTTCTAATTGACAAGAATGTACCACAATTATTTTAGGTAAGAGATCAAGACACAGGAAAAATGCACAAGCCATCAGCTAATAGCCTGCAAATACAGCTGTCTATTATTGTACACCACTGTGACCTGTCCCTTGCGGTGGATTCACTATGGTCCAACAAGAGAAATTTCCAAAAGCTAAGCAAAGCACTTGAAAACTAAGGTTGTTACTTCCACTGTTCAAAGTTAATACCTTACTATTAGGCTGTTACTCTAGGGGCTGCAGATTACATGAGTCAGGCTTGCTCACTTTGTCAAGATTGCAGCATGTTAATTAAATGCAACAGAGACGATTACATGACAACTGAGCTAGCCAAGTTAGCTGGGATCCCAAGGTATTAAGATGGCGTAAAGTGACATAGCAAGCCAGCCCCTCAGACTGGGCCTTCCTGGCTCATGTAATCAGCCCTTTAAAAAGCATTATGAAATGTAACTAAGTGTTTGAAAATTGAAACTGGTATCACTATCACACCTTTACAGATTATAAGTTTACTTGGGCACAAGGCATTTGCAATGAAAAGAGGCTAGTTACAATAACCACTGAACTGCCTACTAGCCACAACCACCCATGCTGATTCATGACCCTTGTACCTCTTGTGACATCATCATACTAAGCGTACTAATGTTATAAGACCAAAAAAATGATGACAGACATAGAGCATGGCCGTACTAAGCGTACCAATGTACTAACACCGAATAAAACACCAACAAAAATAGAACATGGCCGCACTAAGCATACTAACGTACAAAGACCAAATAAAATACCAACATATATAGAACATGCCATATTAAGCATACCAACGTATAAAGGCCGCATGAAACGCCAACTTTTAATATTTTTAGGCCGTATTTAGTGTATCAATAATGTTTTAAAGGCTGGAAAATGCTAACATATGTTGCAAACATATGGCCGCGCTAACAATACAATGTTCTGTGGCACTTTGTAATACCTACTACATTTTGTAATAAACTTGTCGCACTTTGTAATAACACCTCTCGCACTTTGCAAAAAACTTAAAAATTATGGTGCAGACTGGTGCAACTATAGGTGCAGATTGGTGCAGTTTGGCGCATGTTTCGTACAACTCGGTGCACATTGGTGCAGATTGGTAAAACTTGGTGCAGATTGTAGCAGTTTCGTCCATGCTGGTGCAGATTGATGTAGTTTGGAGCAGATTGGTACAGTTTGCTGCACACTGGTGCAGTTTGGTCCATGTTTGGGCAGTTTGATGCAGTTTGGTGCAACTTGGTGCAGATTGGTACAGTTTGGTGCAACTTGGTCCAGTTAAGAGAACTTTTGGCCATGGTGAGGCATATTGGTTTAGCTTGCTCAATGTTGGTGCAGTTTGGTGCAACTTGATGCAGATTGTTGCATGTTGGTGCACCTTGGTGTATATTGGTGCAGTTTGGTGCAACTTGGTGCAGTTTGGTGCAAATTAGTGCACATTGGTGCAGTTCGGTGCCAATTGGTGCAGTTTGGTACAACTCGATGCAATTTGGGCCATGTTGGTGCAGTTTGGTTCAACTTGGGGCAAACTGGTGCACATTGGTGCAGTTTGGTGCAGATTGCTGCAGATTGGTGCAACTTGGTGAAGATTGGTGCAGCTTCGTTAATGTTGTTGCAGTTTGGTGCAACTTAATGCAGATTGCTACATGTTGGTGCGCCTTGGTGTATATTGGTGCAGTTTGGGCCATGTTGGGGCAGATTGGCGCAGATTTGTGCAACGTGGTGTAGTTTGGAGTAGTTTGGGCCATGTTGGGGCAGATTGGTGCAGTTTGGTGTACCTTGGTGCAGTTTGGTGCAACTCAGTGCAGATTGGGACATGTTTGGTGCAGATTGGTGTAGTTTGGTGCAAGTTGGTACAGACTGAAGCAGTTTCGTCCATGTTGGTGAAGACTGATCTAGTTTGGTACCGATTTGTACAGTTTGGTCAATGTTGGTGCCGTTTGATGCAGTTTGGTGCAACTTGGTGCAGTTAGGAGGACTTTGGGCCATGTTGAGGCAAATTGGTGCAGTTTGGTGCAACTTGATGCAGATTGGTGCATGTTGGTGCACCTTGGTGTACATTTGTAATAAACTTAAAAATTACGGTGCAGACTGGTGCAACTATAGGTGTAGATTGGTGCAGTTTGTAGCATGTAGGTGCAGATTGGTGCAGTTTGGTGACGTTTGGCGCAGTTTGGTGCACCTTGATGTAGATTGGTCCAGTTTGGTGCCATATGTTGCGGATTGGTACATGTTTCATGCAACTCGGTGCACATTGGTCTTGTTTGGTGCAGATTGGCGCAGTTTGGTGCAACTTGGTGCAGATTGAAGCAGTTTCGTCCATGTTGGTGCAGGTTAATGCAGTTTGATGCAGCTTGGTGTAACTTGGTGCAGTTAGGAGGACTTTGGGCCATGCTGAGGCAGATTGGTGTAGTTTGGTGCAACTTGATGCAGATTGGTGCATGTTGGCGCACCTTGGTGTATATTGGTGCCGTTTGGCGCAGATTGGTGCAGTTTGGTGCAACTTGTTGCAGATTGGTGCATGTTTCGTGCAACTCGGTGCACATTGGTGCAGTTTGGGCCAAGTTGGGGCAGATTGGTGCAGTTTGGTGCAACTTGGTGCAAACTGGTGCACATTGGTGCAGATTGCTGCAGATTGGTAAAGTTTGGTGCAATTTGGTGAAGATTGGTGCAGCTTCGTTCATGTTGGTGCAGTTTGGTGCAACTTGATGCAGATTGCTGCATGTTGGTGCACCTTGATGTATATTGGTGCAGTCTGGAGCAGTTTGGGCCATGCTGAGGTAGATTGGCACAGATTGGTACAACTTGGTGTAGTTTGGAGCAGTTTGGGCCATGCTGGGGCAGATTGGTGCAGTTGGGTGCACATTTACCTCAGCCCAAAATCAAATGTTCGCATCAGATACATCTAGGAAACCTGCTTCAATCTTGCCTAGTGTTTCATTTGATCCTCGATCTTTTACTGAAAACGTCTTTGTGGGCAAACTTTTACTCATCTTATTACATTATTTCATCATATTTGGTTAAAAACAGTATCCAAAGGAACATGAACAGAGGGGGTGAGAAACGCGTAAGCACTGGGCAGGAGAAATCGCATTCGTTTACCAAAACAACAAAAGAAATGAATAAAATTCGGTGAGCAAATTATCTTTTTAGATATTTGGAATATCGATGTAAAGGGTTACATGTATTTGGAAAATCAAGCTTTCTCGATCTTGAACCTTCGACAATGATTCAAACTTCTGTAATTTCACACCTCTTAGTACTGATGTTCGAATTCGGCAGTATTTGTCGATGTTTGGCTTACTCTGGACAAATCCATGGTGAATTCTCAATGGTATATAAAAAAATGAGTGTTCTGATATGGCTTAGGGTCTATAATCATGATTTCGGCTTGTAAATAGTTAACTCTTCAAGGTTTGTTTAGAGTATTCCGGATACTCTTCTCACTTTCTGTTTCACGTGCATCTTGTGACATGCAAATCAGCTAGGAAATGGTATCTAATGTGCATGTGCATCAGCTGACTGTGTCCCTTTAACTTACTGGAGTAGTAACTAAAGACATCAGAATACAGTATACACAAAACCCGTTGAATTCAATAAACTAACAAAGGTCTCACTAAATTCCAAGTACACTTGTCAGGTGTACTAAGCAAAAAATAATAGAAAGAGGTGCCTAGAACACGCAGCATATGAAAAGGAAGGGCTCAAAATAATAGA